ATCTTTTTGGATGTTTTAATTTCTTTCCTCTTATATGCATGATTTTAAAAGGTATGATGGTTTATTTTATGTTGAGTAGTGTGATTTGGAATATATGATTGGATGGACTAAGGTTTGCAAGAGTTCTAAGGAGAATTCTTAGTGGTTGTATCAAAGTGTTGTTGGTATAAATGTAGGGAGCTGAGTCTTAGGAGTTATCATGACCCTCTAATGATAATTCATTCTCAATTAGAAAGGAGTGGTACATGCGGTGAGAGTAGAAGGAGGTCTTAATCTAAGTGCTTCCAATATGGCCTAAGACGCGGTATAGACTAACCTTGTTCGTGTGGTAGGGTGAAACTCATTGACAATGACTCTGTAGAGTAGTAGAGACCACCACAAGTGCATGATTCGCTATAACTCCACATTCATACATTATCCAGATGGTCAGGTCTAGTCATGGCATGCCTAGGATGTTTGTTTAATTTGGTATGAAATATATGTTTAATGAATTATGATATTTTTGTGTTTTTTTTATATTAACTTACTCTTGCTTTTGTGTTGTTTGTTTGTGTGTTTTGTCTTCTCTTTTAAAATGTTCACCTTAACGGTGAAAGGTTTTTGTTAAATTTAATTTTATTAAATTTTGGGATGTAACACTAATTCATTATGATAAATTGTGTTTAAATAAATACAATAAAATATTTGTCTCAAAATTATAATATAATAAACAATTAAAATATATAATATTATAATAATAACTAAAATAATTTGTATTTCAATATTTTATAAAATAATTTATTTTAATTTTTAATAATTATTTTTGTTAGAGTAAAATAAATTTGATTATATATTTTTTAATTAATATGTAATATATAATAATTAATATTTATAACTATATTCTTTTATTGTAACAAAATAATTATTAAAATAAAATAAAATAATAATTAATATAATAAAATAATTTAAATAATAAATAAAATTTATTTAAATATAGTTTATTATGATATATAATTTATTTATTTATTGAGTTTTTACATTCTGATTTTAACTTTAATTTACATTATTTTTTACATAGTAATTACATATGATACTATTCACTTTCTTCACACTCTCCGATCATTTTCCTTTTATCAAAACAACCTCTCTTTTCCTTTTCTATTTTTTGTTTCCAACTCTACCCTAAATCTAATCAAAACCTAAGATATTAAAAGTGAATTGAGGAAAACTTGTATTGGACTTGTTTTTGAATAATTTACTAATAATCCAGCGTAAAACTTGTGTTGTATTCAAAGATTTTATCACCCATTATATAAGAATTATGCAGGCGAGTTGTTTGCGAAAATGTTTGGTTTAATGTCTCAATAGGTCCCTATTTTTGTTCAGAATTTGACATAGGTCCCTTTATTTTTTGGCGTCTCAATTGGGTCCTTATTTTTGTTAATTTGATGCAAATAAATCCTTTCCGTCAATTTCATCAAACGGCGTTAATGAATGTGTGACGTGGCCTTACACGTGTCAAAGGATTTATTTGCATCAAATTAACAAAAATAAGGACCCAATTGAGACGCCAAAAAATAAAGGAACCTATTTCAAATTCTAAACAAAAATAGGGACCTATTGAGACATTAAACCAAAATGTTTATTAGAATAAAATTTGGGAATAGCTTTCTGTGTTTAACTAATGTTTATTTCTGGAGTTGTTCTGTGAAAGGAAAAGGAAAGTAATTGTGAGTAAAGAGGTGGGAAAAGAGACTGTGGACTGTAATTTTCTTTCAAATTTGTGTTTTTATGGTGCTGTTGTTTAGAAAGACACCTATCATATCACATGAACGCTCAGATTTTTCATTACTTGAGTTGATTTCGAAAGAAAACTTGACAGTTACCACAATACCACATCATAATTGGACACTAACAAACCTCTAATGTGTTGTTTAAACCATTTTGATTTGGTTTTGTACCCTTCATCTATTGTGTTGTGGTTTATGATACAGGTGCAGGGTTCTAACATTAATCTCACTCACCATCAATTTCTAGTATGTGCTTCATACTGTGTTCAATGCCCCAAGTATTTCATTTTCATTTTCCTCCTTTTTTAACCAAATTTTAATCCCTATCCTAACATTCAAAAAATACAAAGTTATCAAAAGAAATTTATCGATATAGATACAATGTCAAAGCCAGTTAACCCGGCTTAAGATAAAAATAAATCAACTTAATTTGGTTCATTTTCTTTTTCTAGTTTTAGGATGATTTATTCTTATTGTAATATAACAACAATAAATCCACTTAATTTTTTGTAACAGTATAATTAAAGTATTAATACATTTTATCAAATATTATTATAAAGATAATAATTGAAAATAAAAGTATGACATTTTTTAAAAATTGGGTTACCGAAACTAATGTAATTATTTTTAGTATATACAAGGAATATAATCAAATTTTATAAATTGTTAAAATATAAACAAACAAAATTTACAATATAACATTAAATCGACAAAACAAAATCGTGTCTCGTAACAAAAAACTTGAATACATAAATTTTAGCAATAGTTTAATTTAATAATTTCCTTTTCCATCATCATTTTCAAAAATGACTTATCAAGAATAAAGACCAGCAAACTTCGAAGCCGGAGTTCTTCAATATTGCTATTCCACCTTCAAAATCCTTTAATACCTTAGGATGATTTGTTAAGCAAAAAAGAGGAAGCATCAAGACTAAATTTTTATTTTTTTTTTCTTCAATGATTTTAGCTCATCTAACAACTGCATGAGGCTGTTGAAAGACGATCCTCCCTCCTCTGTAGTTTTCTTGGAAGCACCTGCAAGTTCTCTTGCTCTCCTTCTGATTTCTGTGCTCTCTTCTTTTCCCATCAACTGTACCACAGCCTTTGCAATCTCTTCCCTTCCCACCATTGCATCCTCTCCCAGCCTTGTCCAGAACTTGTTTTCCTTAGCTCCTACCGGAACTCCGATCTTCAACACATCAACTAACAGCTTTTCATTGTAAAATTGCTCTGCAAACATTGGCCATGTCATCATTGGCACTCCAGCACTCACACTTTCAAGAATCGAATTCCAACCACAGTGAGTCACCATGCCTCCTATGGCAGGGTGGTCCAATATCAGCAGCTGTGGTGCCCAGTTCCATATGATAAAACCCTTCTTGCTTCTTTTCATCTTCTCCTCAAACTCTTGAAGGAAAATTTGTCCATTGTCAATTTCATCTTTTTCTCGTGCAACCCAGATGAAACTACAGCCAGAAATTTCGAGCCCGTGAGCAATTTCAACGATTTGAGCATGTGGGAGCCTCGTCAGGCTCCCAAAACTCACATAAAGTACGGACTCGTTTTGCTTAGAGTTAAGCCAATTTAGCCACTCTGAATCTTGTGCAAAGTCCTCCTTGTGTCCCCTAGTGACCTTTTCCTCTTTCCCCTTGTTAGCCCATGCTGAAACTGGTCCTATACTCCAGCACTTGATCCCCTTAGTACTTTTATAAAGATGCTCATAATCACCTTCAAGTTCATGAAAACTGTTGCACAGCGTTCCATAGCTTCTCATCTCTGATTCATTGGCTTCATTCATTAAGTCTGAAAATTCATCCTTAGTCTTTATCCATTGTTCTAGCTGCAAGTTGGTCATCTCAATATTATGTGGAAGGCCAGGAATTGAGAACTTCTGGGTGGCAGAAGCTACCCTCTCATGAGGCTTATGCTTTCTGATAAAATAAGTGGCACAGCTTGCGAAGTGGCTTGCACTGTAAAAGTAAAGCCTTGGAATGCCTAGTTTTGCAGCTGATTCAACTGTCCAAGGATACAGCAGATCAGTTACAAGACAATCTGGTTGCAGATCATGAAACAGAAGCTCAAATGGACCTTGGAGCATCGACACTCCATAAAAGATTTTACCAATTATATCTAGGGAAGTGCCATCTTTGAGGTTTTCAGCCCCATCAGGGAGACCTAGTTGGGCAGTTGGGAATGGTACCACTTGAGTTCTGATGTGGTATCCACAATTGAAGTCACTGTCTATGGCGTTTTGGAATGTCAAAGCATTAGCATGGGTGGTGATGATGGTAACACTAGCACCATATCTAGCAAAAAGCCTTGCTGTATCCACCATGGGGTTCAAATGGCCAGGAGATAGATATGGTAGAAAAATTACATTGAGTTGGTGGGATTCTGTCTCCATTGCAAACTGTGTTTAGAAAAAATCACTCACACTTCTCCTTCCAAACACAAATACAGCTTGTACCTCTCTTTCAACTTTCGACATCCATTTTTCAAGTGGTAAGTGCTATTCTTTTTGTATGACCACTAGACTTGAGACAAGAACCATTTTCTGTTAATTATTAACTTGATCATTTGGCCGGTTCTTGGTCTCCTCGTTCTTCTTGACACGCTTCTTTCGTTAGCTTCTGCCTCAAATCTTCTTGTATCCTATTTTTCTTTTTGTTGGAGTAATTAAAACAAGGTTTGAAACTAGACTAGCATATTTTAGGTTGAAAATGTCAAACTTAAGAGTATTCTAATGTCTGTTTCTATGTACTGACGGCCATAAACTTTGTTAAAATGATTATCAAACTGCATAATCAGGTTAAAAAATAGGTAGACTAATCAGGCTGGGAACTTGTTCATGTCATCTATTTTGTTCCCTAACAAGTAAAAAACACTTGTTGTAGTTGAAAAATAGGAACCACTAAAACAACAACACATGGAAACTTTGTATTGTTGCAAAAGAAACTGAGTTATCATCTGACATAGCACAGCACCAAAATGTGAATATTCCATCAACCTACCTTTTTCCCCCTTATTATATACCATAGGCCGGTGGTTTTGTCATTATATAGAAATTGTAATTTATATTATAAAAGTAAATATAATTAATAAATGAAATATATAATAACAAAGCTTTACTGGCTCCATAATCAAGGTATAGCTGATATATTAATGATATAAGGTAAAGCTGATATATTTCTTATTTTCGCAAATTGAGTGGCATCAAACAATAATTTTTAGCCTGTTTGTATTATTTTCGAAACATAATTTGTCCTCATAATATATAGACTTTGGTAATGATGTGTATTGAAACACTTGTTTTCATAATAATTTGTTCAAATACGAATAGAATAGGGCTCTTTATCATTCTCCAAACTCTGTTCTAGTACAAGAAATACTCAAGATCAGAACTCTAGTAATGTTGCTAAGAAATTTAGAGCAGAGTTAGAAGAATTATGTAATGACACTGAATTAGTTGCGACAAAGCTTTCAAACCATGTGATTGAAGAAAAAGTCATGTTAGAAAAGCAAATTGGAACCGTTGTTTACATTCCACTTATGTCAATGTCTCCACATTTTGGATACATGGAAGCTTGCAAATAGTTGGTATATCAGTACTCACCAAAATATTTCCTCCCTTTTTTTTCTAGCGGGGAAATTTACCAATCTCTTAGTTAAGTTGTTAGTCTTTGTTTTCTTCTTTTTCGTTTCCTTTTTCCTTATCCAAAATGTTCAAACAAGAAAATGACATGACATAGGAAAAACTAAAATATTATACTGAAACACTGACAGAAGTAGCAAGCTAGATCCATGTAAAACAGTTTCAGAAGTACTTGAAGTTGTTGTTCATCTTGTTCTATAAGCAAAAGGAATTATAAAATCACTAGCTTCACCTCCGAGAAGCACTACATTAATGCTCCATTTCAATTATCTACCCTGCTTCTGTATGTGCTTTAGATATCTTCAACGATTTAAGCTCATATATCAACTGAGTCAAGTTGTTATAAGAGTGTCCACCCTCCTCTATAGTCCTCTTGGCAGCATCACTGAGTTTTCTTGCTCTCTTCCTCATTTCTTTGCTCTCTTGGCTACTTCCCATCAAAAGCATCACAACCTTCACTATATCCTCTCTTCTCACCATTGCTTCATCACCCAAGCTCATCCAAAACGTGTTTTCCTTCACTCCAACTGAGACTCCAATCTTCAAGACATCAACTACCAACTTCTCATTGTAGGATTGCTCAGCAAAGATTGGCCAGGTGATCATTGGCAATCCAGCACTCACACTTTCAAGAATGGAATTCCAACCACAGTGAGTCACCATTCCTCCTATGGCAGGGTGGTCCAATATCAGCAGCTGTGGTGCCCAGTTCCATATGATAAAACCTTTCTTGTTTTCTTTCATCCTCTTCTCAAACTCTTGTAGGAAACTATCTTCATTCTCATTTTCATCCTTTTTCCTGATGACCCAGATGAAGCTATGACCAGAATGCTCAAGCCCATGAGCCAGTTCAACAAGTTGAGCATGAGGGAGCCAGACGAGGCTACCAAAACATACGTAAAGTACAGATTCATTTTGCTTAGAGTTAAGCCAATTTAGCCATTGTGGCTCTTCTTCAAGGTCCTCCTTGTGTCCTCTATTAGCCTTTTGTCCATCATCTTTGTTAACCGACGAAGAAACTGGTCCAATTGTCCAAGATTTGATCCCCAATAAACTCTGATGAAGTTGCTCATAATCGCTTTCAAGTTCATGAAAACTATTATACAGTGCTCCATAGCTTTTAGTCTCCGATTCAAACATTGCATCAAAGTAGCCTGTGGTTTCGTTCTTAGTCCTTTCCCATTCCGCTACCTGCGCTGGCGTCATCTCTATTCTTTGAGGTAAACCGGGAATTGTAAACTTGTGGGTATCAGAGACTAGGATTTCATGAGGTCTATGCTTCCTAATAGAATGACTAACGCAGTTGGAGAAGTAGCTTGAGCTGTAAAAGAAAAGCCTTGGAATACCCAGTTTTGTAGCAGACTCCACTGTCCAAGGATAGCAAAAATCAGTCACTATACAATCTGGTTGCAGGTCTTGAAACAGAAGCTCAATTTGATCTTTAAGCATTGATATTCCATGCCTGATTTGACCCAACATTTCTGGGGTAGTGCTATCTTTAATGTTTTCAACCCCATCAGGGAGACCAACTTGGTCCGCAGGGAATGGAATCACAAGAGTTCTGATGTCGTATCCACAACTGAAGTCATCTTCAATGTCCTTTTGGAATGTTAAAGCATTGGCTTTGGTAGTGATAATGGTAGCACTCGCACCATGCTTGGCAAATAGTCTGGTGGTGTCTACCATTGGTATCATATGGCCAGGTGTTGGATATGGAAGAAAAAGGACATTGAGGTGGTTGCGCCATTGAGCTTTCATTGCTTGTGCAAAGTACGAGGTTCTACTCCTTAGGGGTAGATGCTGCTTCAGAAAAAATAAAGCTTGAAGAGAAGTTTCTGTTATATATAGAGAAAGAATTTCAAGCTTGTATCTGAAAAATAAATCAGAACCCTTCATTCTTTGTAATCATATATAGGCCTAATTAAATAAAAGAAATTCCCAAGAGGAGAAAGATAGTAGAACAATACTTGTTCCAGAAAACTACGTGGAAATTGTCTATCTTTTTCTCAGAGGAGGTCGGCGTCGGTTGCCTATCTCTCAGTGAAGACTTAAACAAAGCCAACGCTAGTCTTTCAAATTTTCTGAAACATCTCTCACGTGGTAAGTGCTGTTCGTTTTATGTGATAGTTGGTAAGGAGAAGTATTATTTTATGTTTGTCTTGTCTGTTGTTTGTTTAATCATGTCGCCTGCTCTTTCTTTCTGCCTTTGTTCTTTGACTTACGCATACTATAGATTCTGCTTGTTCGGCTTTTTTGGGATCAGTTATTTTTTACTGTGGTTCGGTTCATGTCTGCTCACAACTCAAGGAAGCAGAACATACAGGTCACTCTTTGCTTGTTTTTTATGGCACTTTACCATGTTTCAAATTGCAAACTTTGCATGGAATGGAAAGTTTTCTAAACTTTTCTTCTTGTTTGGCCTATGACTATGTTAAAATCCAAGAATGGAATTATTTATACCTATTATAATCCACTTTTATTTACAGTTTAATATATTATTTTACTATTATTATCATTTAATTAATTAATGGTTTAGATTATAAGTTTAAGAAATTTTAAAAGAGCTCTCCTTCTTTTATAAAAGAGCTCTCCTTCTTTTGCAGTTACTCTGAGAACATCCTTAAAAGAACACATATTTCCATCAAAATTAAAGAATGGTCTGCAATCTGCTCAACCCACATTGATTTCCTAAAATAAGTTTGCACCCATAACAAATAACAAAATTTTGTTAAAATAAATTTTGAATAGTTAAATTGAAATATACAAACTTGGATTAGGTTGAAAATATAAAAAAGAATCCAAATTTTACTTTTGCAAAATTTATGTAGTAAATTTACTAGTAAACAAGAGTAAGCAAACATGTCACCCCACTGAATATATTATTCTGCAAAGTTAGAAAATTTTCAAGGGAAAAAGCCAACATAACTTTGTTTTGTCATTCTAAGAACTTCCGTACAACACGTGGGGCATTTGGGATATCAGTTAGCCACAATAGTGTTGTTTATCTTACCTCTCACTTCGTCACAATTTCCTGAGCTAAAATCGTTAAAATATGCAAACGGCAATTAATGGAAAAAAAAAAAATACTTAAATTATTAGCGGCACAACGAAACAGCGACAAGAAACCTAGCCGAATCCATGTTCATCTAATATAGAAAGTTTCACAAAGCCTTGTAAGCGGTTTATTCATCTTGTTAAAAGGCTTCAGAAAATCATCGATACATCTCCTAGAGCCATTTCATTGCTGCTCCATTTCAGTTATCTAACTTGTTTCTGCAAGTGCTTTAGATATCTTCAATGATTTAAGCTCATCTATCAACTGAATCAAGTTGTTGTAAGAGTGTCCACCCTTCTCTATAGTCTTCTTGGAAGCATCACCCAATTTTATTGCTCTCTTTCTCATTTCTCTGCCCTCTTCTGTCTCCATCAACTGTAAGACAGCCTTGATAATCTCTTCCCCTTCCACCACGTTATCCTTGTCACCTAATGCCCAAAACTTGTTTTCCTTAGCTCCCACTGAAACTCCAACCTTCAACACATCAACTATCAACCTCTCATTGTAAAATTGTTCTGCAAACATAGGCCATGTGATGACTGGCAATCCAGCACTCAAGCTTTCAAGAAGAGAGTTCCAACCACAGTGAGACACAATGCCTCCTATGGCAGGATGATTCAATATCAGCAGCTGTGGTGCCCAGTTCCATATGATAAAACCCTTCTTGCTTTCTTTCATCTTATCCTCAAACTCTTGCAGGAAACTGTATTCGTTCTCATCTGCATCCTTTTTCCTCACGACCCAGATGAAACTATGACCAGAATTTTCAAGCCCGTAAGCCAGTTCTGCAAGTTGAGCATGATGGAGCCTAGTGAGGCTTCCAAAATTCACATAAATTACAGAGTCATTCGGCTCAGTGTTAAGCCAAGTTAGCCACTCTGGCTCTTCTGGAAGGTCCTCCTTGTGTTCCCTATTGATCTTTTGTCCATCATCCTTGTTAACCCAGGCTGAAACTGGTCCAATACTCCAAGATTTGATCCCCACTATACTCTTATGAAGTTGCTCATACTCGCTTTCAAGTTCATGAAAACTATTATAGAGTGCTCCATAGCTTCTTCTCTCTGATGCAAACATTAGCTCAAAATAGTATGAGACTTCTTCACGAACCCTTTGCCAGTTTGCAAGCTGTAGAGGGGTCATTTCTATTCTATGAGGAAAACCAGGAAATGAAAATTTGTCGGTATCTGACACTAACCTCTCCTGAGGCCTGTGCTGCATGACAGAATGAGTAGCACAGTCGGACAGGTAGCTTGAGCTGCAAAAGAAGATTCTTGGAATACCCAGTTCTGCTGCGGATTCCACAGTCCAAGGATAAAACATATCACTCACTATGCAATCTGGATGAAGATCTTGAAACAGAAGCTGAATATGATCCTTGAGCATTGATATTCCACGACTGATTCGGCCCAGTAGTTCTAGGGAAGTGCCATCTTTGATGTTTTCAACCCCTTCAGGAAGACCTACTTGAGCTGCAGGGAACGGAACCAGTTGGGTTCTGATATGGTATCCATGGCTGAAGTCACTGTCGATGGCATTTTGGAAAGTTAAGGCATTTGCGGGGGTTAATATAATGGTGACATTAACACCATGCCTAGCAAATAACCTTGCTGTGTCGATCATGGGGTTCATATGGCCAGGAGTTGGATATGGAAGAAAAGTGACATTCAATTGGTGTTGGTGTTTAGTATCCATAGCTTTGGCCATCTATGAGGTTCTATTTCTTTGCTTTCAGACAACTTTCTGTGATACCCACACAATGGTTATAGACTTATATATATAAGCTTAAAAATTGTTAGCAAGAAAAAGATTTTTGTCTTTATAAAAATTGTAAGGGATATGTTTTTCTGTACTCAGGATAATATTTATATTTTTTTTATTGAACATATATCTTTTAACAAAAATGAATAATAAATTTTTTGAATTAAATAAAAAAAAGTGTGAATGAATGATATATATGAATTATAGGGAAATACATGCAAGGAGGTTATGCGTGGCATTGAATTAGTTGACATTATGAGAAGGTGAGAGGAGCACAATACTTATGTTGTCTTCGTGGCTAAAAAGTTGCTATTTCACATTTGAAATGTCCACAGTTGAATGTTACACGGATCCTTTTCGGTTTTATTGGTGTGGCTTGATAAATATAACGAGGAAAACGAGTAGCAATAATAATATAATAATAGTTGAAGTCATCCATTCAAACTTTTCTTCAAAATAGCTAGTAATTTAGTAGGAAAAAGAATTTAGTAGGAAAAGAAGCGTGCGTATGCACGGGTCACTCGGCCACTTAAAAACTATAAAATAATGTACTCGTGGAGATGCATAATTTTGTGAATTTGTGAAGGACATCCGTGGTGGTTGGCTCATAAAGACTTACATAGCGGGTAAAATTGGATCAATCAAATTTATTTATTTATTTAGTCTTATGTGTCAATATAACTGATCAAAGAAGGCATATGTGGTGGGTTGGTTTATTGATCTATTTTTTAAAATTAAAAATTTAAATAAAAAATAATTTTAGAAATTTACTTTTTTTATATTATATGATTTAAAAAATTTAATTATATAATAATATTATAATAAAAATATAATAATATTTTTGTAATTTAAATCATTAATATTTATAAATTAAATTTTAATTATTAATTATAATAAATTAATCTAATATATAACTATAGTAATTATTTTAATTCATCCAATTAAAGATATTAATTAATTAAAAATTAAAAAATATTTATATAAATATTTTTATTTAATTTAATATATAAATTTTATTACTCATGTCACTAGAAAAGTAAAATCTTTTAAAAGTTCGTATACTCACCAACATGCCTCACTCACTTTTTATTTTATTGCTTACTTAAAAATAATGATCAATTTTCTTTTAATCATCAAATTTTTGTTTTAGTTGTGACAATCACTAATGCAAAATTGACTTTTAACGTCACCCAATAGATGTTGGTCCACCAAAACCCCAACGTAAATAATTGATCCTGTCATTTATTTTGTGGAGATGCATAATTTTGTGGAGGACATCCATGGTTGTTGGCTCGTAAAGCCTATCATTCAATAACTTACATGGTGGAAAAAAGTGTCAATCAAATCGATACTCGGTGTTTTTTTTAAGGCTTAATACCCTATTTTGTCCCCAGTTTCGCTCGATAATGTCAAATTAGTCCATCCTTTAAAACGTGCGTCAATTACGTCCCTACTTAATAAAATTTATATCAATGAAATCCCTTCCGTTAAATCCGTACAAACGGCGTTAATAGAAGATACAGAAAAATAATTAACGCCGTTTGTACGGATTTAACGGAAGGGGATTTCATTGATATAAATTTTATTAAGTAGGGACGTAATTGACGCACGTTTTAAAGGATGGACTAATTTGACATTGTCGAGCGAAACTGGGACAAAATAGGGTATTAAGCCTTTTTTTAATTATTTCTTTTGTCTAATGTGTCAATATAATGGATCAAATAAGGCATGTGGTGGGTTGGTTTATTGATCTACTTTTTAAAATTAAAAATTAAAATAAAAAATAATTTTAAAAATTTACTTTTTTTATATTATTTGATTTAAAAAATGTAATTATATAATAATATTGTAATAAAAAATTAAAAATTGTTGTAATTTTAAATCATTAATATTTATAAGTTAAATTTTAATTATTAATTATAATAAAAATCTAATATATAATGTCAGACCTCATTAAAAACGCACCCAAAACCCATCTGAACGGACGCCAGGTGTCAAGCAACGAAGATTAGAAATCAGATAGTGGAATGCAGGTGTCAGCAGAGGAGCGGACGTTCGGTTTTAACAAAACAAAATTTTCTGAAAATCGCGTCACACTCTCTACATGCATCTTCTTCTCCAAAATCTGATTTTTCTCAAATTTCTCCTTCTCTCTAAAAGCTCTCCCTTCTGTCTACCAAAACTCACCATTTCTCTTCTCCGATCTCCGTTCAGGCACCGTAGGAGCACTCCCGGCATCCCAAGCTTCATTTTGAACCGAACAGTTTCGAGTTCTGAAACCGGTAAGTTTCCTTGTCTTTAGCCGATCGTTTCTGGTACATGCAAACCAAGTTCTGGTTGCATGCTGTCATCTAGACTGAGCCATTATTAATTTTATGTTGTTTGGTTTAGTTTGAAGAGTTGTTGAGCGTTGAGAGTAGAAAGATCTGTAGTCAGACGAACCAAAATCTGCCTTTAGGACGATCGTTCACACTAGAGGCAAGGGAAGCTTATCTAATTTAATTGTATGTTCTTTGTATGATGCGTATGATGAAATTTACCTTGTGTGTTGGATTGTTTGAAATGTATGTTTATGCATGAATTAAATTATATAAGCTTACCCTGTATTTCCTGTCGTGTCTTGTTTTGTATATTCGTCTTGTCGTTGCAATGATCATCCGTGTGGATGTGAGCAGAAGGGGGCGAGCTGTTGGAAGATGTGCTGGAAGAAGAAAATTTGGTCGAGATTGAAGTTAAGACCGAACAGTAGAACGTTCGGTCTGTAGTTTAAGTTTTTGTAGTGAGGTGGTCGTTCGATCACCTTTCCATTCTGTTATGTATGACCGATTGATGTATATTGTTTTGTAAACCGTTCGGTTAGTTTTGTACTGCTGTATAGTTTAAGTTTGTAACTCTTTCTGTAAGGTTGTTTGGCCATAACCGTACGCTCTTCTAAATTTAAGACTGATCTGAATTATTATTAAATGTAATTATTCTATCATATAGTTTATACTGTATTTTTGGGATGTTACATATAACTATAGTAATTATTTTAATTCATCCAATTAAAGATATTAATTAATTAATTAAAAACTAAAAAATATTTACATAAATATTTTTATTTAATTTAATATAGGGTTTTTGTCGCTCATGTCATTAGAAAGATAAAATCTTTTAAAGTTCGTATATTCAGGAGCATGTCTCACACACTTTTTATTTTATTATTAACTTTAAAATAATGGTCGATCTTCTACTAAATATTTTGTTGTAATTGTGATATTAGAGGAATAATCTAAGAAATTTAAGGAAGTCAAAAGATTTTGGTTAACGTGCATACATTATTTCTTGAAAAGAAATCTCTTGAACGTAAATAAGTATACAAAATAAAATATCACTCAATGGAAGTATAAAGCATTTAAAAGTGAGAGTTGTTATATTCATACATCGTAAGAGATAGGGAATAAAGTATGTGCAACATTTTCCTTAATGGTAAAATTATTCATCATACGTACCTTGATGGTTGTGGCAATAATTAGAAAAGACATGTTCACCAGATGGATGTACATAACATGCTTCTCCTTAGGGTTCTTGAGGGGGTTTCCTTTGAAAGAGATTATATAAATGTGACATGAGTCCAACCTATATAAGGAATTGATATCATTTTTAACCTAAAAGCTTGAAGCAATGGGTCTTTTTATTATATGGTGTTTAACTTTGTCATTCGTACCCAATGTGAGACTTAAACTCACACTTGAATTATTCCCAACAATATCTTCCACCAACGTGAGTCCCTTTTCATATGATCTACTTCCTCTCAAGTGTAGGTAACTTTTAGTTATATTATTATCGTTGTGGTCGTGGTGTTGATTTGTTTTTGTTGTTGTTGTTATTATCACAACAGTCTAAGCAGTCACCCACCATTACCTTAAAACCATTAATGGGTTCTTGAGAGAGTTTCATTAGGAAGATATTATATAAACGTGACATGAGTCCAACCACATAAGAAATTGACACTACTTTTAACCAAAAACCTCAAGGCATTATCAATATTTTTCTTATATGGTGTTTAATTTTGTCACTTTTACCTAGTGTGAGACTAAGAATCACACTTGGATTATTCCCAACATTTCCATGATGATTGGCTTGATGAGGTGTACAAGAAAGTCCCTCCAAGTTTTAAAAACATTGATCCAAATTTAGTTTGTATATTGAAAAGGTTTTTGTCAAGGTCTTCCACAATGAGTAAATGGATTATAACATCATGACTTCTCTTTAATGAAATTGAACCATATTAGACTTCATTGTTATGAATGAATGGTGCAAATACAAAATGCTATGAATAAACTCCTTCAACCATATAAGAAAATGGACTAAATAACGTAAAACAACCCGAAAAGCACACACAAGGACACAAAATATAACCCTGGGGAGTGATGTTTTCCAAGTTGGGGAGTATGCACCAAGTTTTTGTACAAAAATGCATTCAGCCCCTGGTAATCGATTACATTACCAAGGCATGTGTTGGCTAAATATGTTGTTTGACTTGACGTACCTTGCTGAAAACACCCACATTGGGTCTTTCTTTCACAAACTACATTTTTGAAGCACTTGGCACCATCAACCATGACCAACAGGTGTCATGCATTGACAAAAATTGCAAAAGGCACCCTTAAGTACACAAAAATTACCCTAAGGAGTAACGTTTCCCAAGATGGGGAGTATGCACTAAGCTTTTGTACAAAATGTCTTTCTGTAACACCTCAATTCTTGGAATACCACGATTACGAAAAAAAAATTAACTTTGAATACGCAGAGAAATATAGTTAATAAAGTCTTTAACATTTTATCATACTAAAGAAAATAATATCTTCAAGGTACAATTACACATCCAAGACCAAATTACATCGTCTTCAAACTTTTATTGGAAAATAACTTAACAAAACCCATTTTCTTTTCTCCAACCTCGCGCTGCTTTAAATTGCATCTGAAACATCTGCACAAACATCTGCTTCCGTATAAAACAATCATTGGAGGTGGA